TCTCTTCCCAACCAATAGACATTGTATCCTTTCGCTTTAATTAATTAATTAAATTATCCTAAATTCTATTGGTCAACAATCAATGATAGATGGTGGTTAATAATGGATAATTAAGAGAAATGTTTTGTTTCTTTCTAAGAGACTTATCATTTCTCTTATAAATAAGAGAAGAGCCATCTTTCTCCCAAGAAGAAATGTTTCTTTCTTTTCATCGGAAAGTACATAAAGAAATAAGGATTAGAGGGAGAAATTTCATCTCTTCAGATTGAATTTTACGAACATGAATACATGTATGTATATCTCAATTATGAGTATGTGAAAATCATGAATTCAAAAATCTTGGTTATTATGAATTTTATGAATTTTGGGTCATGAACTTGGATTTTATAAATTTTAAAAATCCTAACAACAAGTTTTACATATTTTAAACTTTAAACCAAAATTTTATTAATATAAATCTTTTGAGTTTAATTTTTATAAAAAAAGATTTGACTCTAAAGACTCTAAGCGCAACACTATCCAGAAAAACAACAATAAAAAGAGTAAAACTAACAACATACATATGTTTGATCTTTCAAATGCCTCTAGAAATCCTCAAAGAGTGATTTAATGATTTGATTAGGGTTTGATCTGACTCGGATTAGACTAGTTTTTATATCATTGGGTCATTCTCATCGAGCCGGTCCTTTTGACTATAAGTCTACTGAAATCAGAGTTCTGGATGACTTTTTATCAAGATTTGAATATTTCTTGCTTAAAATATTATCTCGAGATTCGTGTCAGATGATGAAAAATTGTTGGTGGCGTATCACTGGTAATGTTGATTGTCTCCAAGTGATGTATCTTTCTAGATTTAGCCACTTTGATAGATGGGTTTGGTTCAGCCACTTTGACAGGTAAGCTCGATCAACCACTTATAAATATATAAATACATAAAAATTGAGCGGTACCTATATAAATGTTTCATATATTTAATTTGAAAAACAACTTTCTTTTTTTAATAATACTTTAGGATTTAGAAAATTTAAACAAAATCGCCGTACAATAATCAGAAGAATAATTTATTCATTTCTTTCGTAAAAGTGTAAGAAAGTGACATAACATGATCATGAAAAACTAATTAGTGGCCAGTGACCCGCCCTAAACGTGTCCCATCATGACGAATGAATGAATAATGATGTCCTTAAGCAAACTTTTCCCTTTGTTTTGTGAGTGGAGAACTACATCATAATAATTAGCCACTATGGTGGTCAATTTCTACTTAACGGAATCCTATAATTTACTTCAGCTTTTTTTATATATATATATATTTAACGCTAACCCTGAAGAGATCTGAGACTCTAGAGGAGATGAAAATGATAAAGGAAGGTTCACACTGACAGGAGATCCGGAGGCTCACAAAGCCAACCAAATACTGTTAGATGAACCAAAACTCATATACTCGAACAAAAACATTTAGACGAAACAAGGTTCACAAAGCTGACTGGATATCTTCAGACAAACTAAGACCTATAAAGCCTACGGGATACATTTAGACAAGCCAAGGCCTACAAAGCTGGTTGGATACATCGCACTAGTAAAATACCAAACATATTCTTTAACACTCTCACTAAAGCATGTCAAAAAAATAATATCACAAGATTGTTCCCTCTCCACTAAAAATAAGAGAATATTTCATATACAAAATGAGGAAAAAATTTTGATAAAAAAAAAGAACTAAAGAGACCAGGGAAGGCTCCATCAGCTTAGAGAGGGCAAGCCACTATGCACCCTTCCCTTTGTTTTCCCCCCTCCCTCCGCTTTATTACCTTGAGGTGCGATTCATTGAAAAATCATAATTCAACATCTCAAAAGATGCGGTGAGCATGAATCGTGTCATATAAAAGAAGAAGAGCAACACACGGAGAATAAACTTAAAACATAGACATTGAGAACATGAAGTGCACCCGAGAGTTCATAAACTGGAAGATCTAGAAGTTGGAGGATCAAGTGTTGGACACCATGTGATACGCTCTGGCTCGGTGAAGAGAGCAGTACCCTTGAGAGGAAGAGTCAGCTTCGGAGACATTCTTTTTGTAACGAATGAAAAAGTGAAACTACACATTGGCGTTCTCTGCAACAGAATAGAGCTTCACCGTCTTCTTGAACGAGACCTAAGTTATTATGAAATTGAGGAAGTTGTCAGCATCATAATCAAATGAATTAAACATGATTGAATAATCTCCAACCTAAATTTGACCCAAAATGACATCCTTCTAGCCTGGCCAGCCAGCCAACCAGCCAGCCCGCATTCAGATCCACCATTAACTCCATTTCTATCCCACTTTTGGTCGGGCCTAGGTTATATCTGCATGAAGACACAAAAGATCTTGCAAATTGCAGCACGAAATTGAACAGGAAAAATGATTTTTTATTGTAACTAATTATTGAAGATTAAAAGTGAAAACATCAATGAATATAAAAATTAAATTTGGCACATACAACTATTGGTTAGCTTTGTACAAGAAATATTTTTCTCTGTTCTTACTTTAAATTCTTTTAAAATAGTTCTAATATGTATGGAAAAATACATTTATACACCATCATTTTGCAAAATGATATATATATATATCTGTGTGTGTGTGTGTGCGCGCGCGCGCGTGCACACGAGCTAATTAGCTACTTTGGCCCCACAATGGAACAAATGGGCTTTCTCGGGCCAATTTATGGTTGTTGGACATCTCAAAGATTACATAATTCAAACCCCATCATCAAACCCAGTCCATATCTCCACAAATATGTTAAAACCACCCGTCGGACTGTCCTAACGATTGACATGTCGGATGGACTTGGTAGATTGACCTACGTATTCATTATTTCAGCCTCCTTAAGAATCACAAAAGAACTAGTTATTCCTTGCCCAAGAGTTAGGATGCTCCTTAGGCCCGTCTATTGAGTTCACCCGATCAAATAGTCCTCGGGATGGACAAATAATCGAAGGATCAACATTAAAAGGATTTATATAAGCTTCATCATTATCTATGAATTGCATGACACTCACGTTACTATCTTTTCATCAAAATATCATGGACAAGCCTTGTACTGTTTGACTCATATTTTATTTATATTTTTTCTTTTCAGACGGGAGAAGGGGAAAGAAGAACTCTCTCACTCTCTCCCCTACCGAAAAATGATTATTGGAGATGCGTAGAATTTAGGCTTAAAGAACACATTCATTCTCTTTTTCACCCTTTTTATACAGGTCTCTTGAATTGTATGAACCCACGGATGTTACAAAGCCTTACATTCTAAAAGGATTCAACTATATATATATATATATATATATAAAATAACGAATGTTATATAAGCGATTATTTTGTGTGGGCCTACTGAGATACACTTTTGATTGGGGGAGTGTTTTGATTGATTCACCGTACGTATTTCTGTGCACGCTGAACGTATATATATAAGAGAATTTTATGCAGATGGCTAGCAAGGATTTGAGAAGATAAAAGATAACAAAAAGGGTGGCTAATAGAACGTCATTTTTACACCAACAAAGGGGGCCCAACTCAATAAAAAAACACACAAAACAGATTGTCCGAATCTCTGGGATTATAAAATTCCCCACTCCTAATTCTTTTTAATCCCATATCGCAAGGCATCACATGAACTCAATCATGACACTACTCTTCCTTAATAATTGTTGAGATAATATATTGACTTCTACTCTATTTTCTTTTCCCCCATTCTTTGCACCCAAACCAGGTTCCTATTTTTTTATATGTCGTGTAATTTAAATAATTGCTATTATTATTCCTGTAAATGGTCTCTGAAGTTCCGCATGTTTCACAAGGTGTAAAACCATACAAAAGTGGACAACCATTTTAGAAAAATACAAATTCAAGCATTATTAATGGCCATTATTAGTGGGGATTTTCTTAATAAATTTCATTTATGAGAATCTCTTTATTATTCATCGGCTTGCACTTAAAATGTTGGGGCGATTACTTACAAATCATCCAAAACATTACTATTTACAAATCAATCGCCCTTTTTCATCCAAAATTGATGATAAAACCCCGACCCAAAATTTTCTTTTTTTTAAAATTCTTAATGATTTGATTGCGGGATGCTTAAATGCATAGGTTCGGTAGTTCAAAAAGCCACGTTAGGTGCTTAATTGTAAATATCAATGTTTCGGGTGCTCTATAAGTAATTATCCCTAAATACTTTTTATCAGTTTGCTTAGTTTTGGACTTTGATACATAAATTGCTTTTATAAGCATTTTCTTTTGCTTTCAAAGCCATCTTTCCATCCAAACGATGAAATTAAAACTATTTGCTGCTTTCACATTGCAAATAAATGCAACTAATTCGAAAGTAATGCTTTTGTTTTTGTCAGCTTCTATTTGCATTCAAACAAATTCATTAATGCCATTAAATACAACATTCCAACCAATAAAAAGTGGATGGCATGAGAAAAAAAAAATCACTAATTTTTCATTTACATCTTGAAAGCAGTGCTATGCACCAAAAACCGTATCCTGTGAAAGAATTCTCCGCAACTAATAAGAAAATGATGTGTCTTTCAATTACAAAATAAGGATTTATTTGGGACAGCTACAACTTATTGAATAATCTATCGATAAACTAGGTGTGATGACTATTATAATTTTTTTTTTTTGAAAAGCAAGACCGCTGTCACCGCACCCAGATCGGTGCAGTGTAAAAACTCCGTTTTCAAAATACAGTTTATCCAAATGAGTTTTCAAAATGCCACCACACCAAATAAATTACCCCAAATAGACCCTAAAAGACAAAAAGCCAATGACTTTCGACATTATCGAAGGTGAAAACAAGGGCAAAATAATAAACTCACTTTATTAGTATAATTTCTGTTTTTTTTTTCTTTATTTAAGAATAACACTCATTTTCCGTCTAATAAATGCTCCCTTTCTTATTTCAATCCTCAATTAATATTCCTAGGAGGAAATCCCAGTAGAAATCCTCGGAAGCCACATGAACGACTTCCCTTCTCTTTGAAGAAATTCCCCCATCATCTTCTTCGTTAGCTGATAATTTCTTATGAGAATTTTACCTCTAGAAAACAAAAGGTTCCAGCTTCCAAGCTTCTCTGACACAGATTAGCTTGTCAGAAACCAAATGTACTCACTTTCTGCTGCCTATGTCCTCTAGATCTTCTTCAAATTGAATAAACTCTTTACCATTCATGGCAATTCCTTGAAGGAAAGTACTACTCTCTTTTCTACCTCTGTTTGTTTGCTCACAAAACTATAGTTTGTTTCTTACACTTAAAGAGATTTTACTAGCCTTTACCGTTATTCTCCTCATTTGAATTATCTTCTTTCATGCAAGTATCTTTGAGATGTTAGCCCCACCATGGCTGCTGCATTCTCCAAAGCTTTTGATAAGATTTATGTGCAAAGAGAATTAACCACACTAGAAAAGTAGAAGGAGAAGGAAAGGAAGAACCCATAGTTGACTGTGAGCCTCTCATCTTCTTTTTATCTCCCAAGCCATCTCTCTTCTCTCCCACTCCTCTCCTAATCTTCAACAACAGTAGCTGCCACTTTGTTTCTTTTCAGAGAATGGGGAAGAACTCCTGCTGCTACAAGCAGAAATTGAGGAAGGGCTTGTGGTCTCCTGAGGAGGATGAAAAGCTCCTCAAGCATATTACCAAGTATGGCCATGGATGCTGGAGCTCAGTGCCTATGCTTGCAGGTAACCAAACCCATGCCTCCTTTTCAAAGAGAATTGTACATGGATTTGATTCTAATAGATTGAATTATGTATGCTTCAGGTCTACAGAGATGTGGTAAAAGCTGCAGGCTGAGGTGGATAAACTATCTCAGGCCTGATTTGAAGCGAGGAACATTCTCACAGCAAGAGGAGAACCTCATCATTGAGCTTCACAAAGTGTTAGGGAACAGGTTTGATAATATATTCAATTTTTCCCAGAAAATTGATCCAAATTGCTCAAATTCGGTTTTTTTTTTTTTTTTTTGTCATCAGGTGGTCTCAAATTGCAGCACAATTGCCTGGAAGAACTGATAATGAGATAAAGAACTTGTGGAACTCTTGCATTAAAAAGAAGCTGAGGCAGAGAGGGATAGACCCAAGCACACACAAGCCACTCGTTGAATTTGAAGGACAGCACGAGAAAATAGCTGAAGCAACCGAAAGCCCAACTCCAGAACTAGCAAAGCAGACTATGGATCCAACAGAGACTTATGTTCTGAACAATTTTGTAAAGCCAGCCAATTCTTTAGCAGCTAGCTACTTCTCTCTTCCGAATTTAACTTACAACTCTGAGTGTGGAAATAGCATTGGCCAAATTCAACAGCTTTGGTTCAATCAAAGCAATAAACTTTTCAACAACATCAACTCAAACTCTGAGTTCAATTTCAATTCTGTATCAAGCTTGTTACCATCGGTTCTGAGATCCACTCTTTCAACTTTAAAGGAGTTGAAACCTCTAACTAGTCTTTTAATGGAAAATTATCCTCTGGGATTCTCCTGGGAGGCAGGAAATTCAAGCAAAAACAGTGAGAGCAGTGGAAGCAATGATCCACTTTTTGATGGAAGCACCGTTTCATGGACTCAGCTGATGATAGAAAGAGATACAAATGTCCATCTGGATGGAGTGATGGATGACCTCAAATGGTCAGAATATCTTAATAGCTCAATTCCATTATCCACAGAACTTCAGAGCCAGAATCCCGAGCTCTGTAATGGAGTGAAGGTAGAAGAACAGTTTGGAATTGATGGCTTGAATATTTGGCTGCAGAATCATCAGCAGCAACAACGTGGTTTTAGTATTTGGCTGAAGAATCTTCAGCTGCAACAACGGCAAGCGTAGCAGCAGGCTTCTGATATTTACGGAAAGGACTGTCAGAGGGACATGGTTTGTTAAAAGAGTATTGTAACCTGTTAAAAAAATACTCTTTTTTTATAGAGCTTTCACTGCTTCTTGTGTGTGTGATGATGATTATGATTGCTTGATTGCTTCTTGTAAGAGTATATTAGACGGTCCTCCCATATAGATATAGGCCTTGGGATTCTCTGAAAATTCACATTTCTTTTTTCACCTTTTGGATATTGTTTGTGTAGATTGACAAGCTCAGGCCACCTCTTCTTCTAACCTTTGCAACTCTTTTATTGTTCTTAAAAACTACTATTTGGTTCTGTGGACTACTTAAATGATTAATTTTTGCTATGTCCTCCCCATAATCTCTCTCTTTCTCTCAATCTGAGTAACAAGTTGCATTCTTTAAGTATAGCTGCTGCTAGATAGTTTTTTTTTTCTTCTTTTTTATTTTTAGACAAGGCATCAACAAAGAATACCTCTTTTTCATTGAAGTGAAATGGTTTGAATATTTGGCTGCAGAATCATCAGCAGCAACAACGGCAAGAGAAGCAGCAGGCTTCTGATATTTACGGAAAGGACTGTCAGAGGGACATGGTTTGTTAAAAGAGTATTGTAAACTGTTAAAAAAATACTCTTTTTTGATAGAGCTTTCACTGCTTCTTGTGTGTGTGATGATGATTATGATGATTATGATTGCTTGATTGCTTCTTGTAAGAGTATATTAGATGGTCCTCCCATATAGATATAGGCCTTGGGATTCTCTGAAAATTCACATTTCTTTTTTCACCTTTTGGATATTGTTTGTGTAGATTGACAAGCTCAGGCCACCTCTTCTTCTAACCTTTGCAACTCTTTTATTGTTCTTAAAAACTACTATTTGGTTCTGTGGACTACTTAAATGATTAATTTTTGCTATGTCCTCCCCATAATCTCTCTCTTTCTCTCAATCTGAGTAACAAGTTGCATTCTTTAAGTATAGCTGCTGCTAGATAGTTTTTTTTTTCTTCTTTTTTATTTTTAGACAAGGCATCAACAAAGAATACCTCTTTTTCATTGAAGTGAAAGGGAAATGAGAAGAAATGGACAAATTCAAAGGATACAATAAATATGAAGGAGAGTGACATCTTTAATTTCATTCTGAGCATCAATTCTAAAGAGAAAGAACTCAAATCACCATCCATTAATCCCCATGTCCCCAACTGCTATCATTATTTTAGGTGGGCCAACAATAGTACTAATTTATGTTTCAATGTCCTTATGATGAGTGGATTGGTGATTAAAAAAAATGGTTGAGGAATAAAGGAGGGAGGGGTCTACGTCTACTCTTTTCACGTAAGAATCTTACCTAAGAATGCCTCATGGCTAAATTAAGGGATTTTTTTTTCTCATAACAACTTGTATAGTAGAATTCTCTTGACATGGAATATGATAGAGATGGGTTAATTCCAGTTCAATTGTAAGGAATTAATCTTTCTCTTTTTTATACCGGTGTGGCAATCACTTAGACAGTGTTTAGCTTCATCTAATATTTACGTCAAATAGGATTTATTAAATCAAACAAATTTGGATTTTGCAAATCCATAATCCCTTGCGATCATCGGAGAAATAAATAGTGAAGATCACAATTTTGATGTGAAAAACCCGAAAATAGAAAAAACCACCGAGCCTAATTCTTTTGAAATGATTTTATTAACAAAAAAATCCAAATTATCATATATAATGTATTAACTGTTATAACCACATTCAAACCATGTCAAACTTCATGCTAGCAAATAAGGTCCCGACGATCAAGCTTGTAACAAAGAACCATCGAGGCTTGCCTTCTATAGATGTATTGACTAGTTGAATTATATAATTTTCATATACCCCTAAAGAGGGGCATATAGAAGGTGCTATTTATATTTGCATGTGGAAACACATGTAAATAATAATGTAATGCTACTTGATGGTGATTTTAACGAAATCATTAAAGATATTTCAATTTTGCACCCTCGACCTATTTTAATTAATAAATAATTAAGTTGTAAATATTTGTATGGCAAATAGTTCACTCACCAGACTAACATAAACATATGAGGCAAAATATGACCTCCCAAAAGATGCACTATTTGAGATATGTTAAAAGCTATAATTAAAGAGAGTTAAGCTACTCTTCATGTGAAATGATCATTGTAGTTAATTGTGATTTCTTTATTAATGTATTTATTGATATTGAAATAGGATAAATGATGTCACCCATGAGCTTAATAACATAGTGTCATTACTGTAAATTTATCAAAGCAAATTTAGGTATAGATAGTAAACTTCATCTTACCTAGATCACTAAATTCTGCCCAAGCATATGTCTCAATAGATCGTAGATGTTAAAAGAATTTTGTTGCTATTATGGAGTTAAAATGAGAAGCCCAATTTAGCCATCATAATATTTATGCGCAAATTGGTCGTGGTTCTTGTTTGCTCACATTTTCTTTCATTCTACTCTATGTTACCCCTCTCAAGTAAACTTTTTCTTGAATATTGCCATATTATCTCCATGCAAGCTCTTCCTTTCACTCTCTTTTACGTATATCGAAGAGAAAAATAAGAAGGTCAAAAGGAAGAAGATGCGAAAGATGAATAAAAGTGAAGAAGAAATAAAAAAAATTAATTAATTAAAAAATGGCTATGAAAAATTTCTATTGAATAATTTGCATTAAAAAAGTCAGGAGAAGAGACCCACCAGAAAACTATATTGACTTGAATAGGGTCAAAAAAAATATCTATAAAAGCCTTACACAAATAACTAGATATTCACTTTGTTTTCTTATAAATATATCAGCACTCACTAAAGACGGTTGTTCTGATGGTTAATTACAATTTAAAAAAGAGAAATCTTGCTTATATTTCAAATCTTTGAATGGACACATTTGTTAGCCAATTTGATGCTTTTGAACTTCTTAAAAGAGCTAGGGAATTTTAGTTTTAATAAAAAATGGTTGTGCAAATTAAGATTTTATGACTTTTAAGATGTGAGGTACATTTTGACACTTTATAGTGATATAGATGATGGCCCTAAGTATTATGCTAGAGTAAAGCTAGTTGAATGAATAGAGACTAGTTTCATAAGTATTAAGTGGTTGGAACACTCACTTGATGCACATGAGGGAAAAATTAATTATGTTGTCCTATAGCTATTATGATTATATTTTGTTACATCAAAGTTATAATATGTTATGCTATAGCTATCAAATAATACTTATCTTATTAAGCTTATAATATGCTGTGTTGTAACTATTATGATTTCATTGCATTGTGTTATAATTATCATTGCTTTTTTATATCCTCTAATAATATTTTATAGATTTTTTAATCAAGAACTTCATACATCAAATAATTATTAAATGTGTTTCAATATTTTTTTAATTTTGTAATAATTACTAACTTTAACAATGACAATCATCGTAGTATAAGATAACATCAATCATTAATATAACACATACTATATGAGATAATATCTTTTAGATTCATTAAATAGAAGCAAACTCTTAATATGATATCATTAGTTAACTACATTATAATAATAGTTACTTGACAAATCATTACAAACTCTAAATTATTTATTTATTTTATATCAAATTTGATTATTGCAAATAATATTACTGTTGTGAAAAAAAAGTAGTCACAGTCTAAATAGGTGAACATAAGCTTCATCAAATAAATGAAAATATAGTAAGTATTAGTTTGCATACAATTATTGCCCATTTCAACATCAAAAGTCCTCGGTAAATATGTCAAGAAAAGAGAATCTTAGATTTAAAAGTGACACATATTCAAAATTCAAACTAAATTTTAATTTTATCATTTGGATATGGTTTGAATCATGTTGAAATATCATCCAATCTACATGATAAATTTATGCATGTAATAATATGAATGTTTTGAACCATATTCAAATGAGGTTCAAATCTTATTCAAGAGACAAACATGAACTACTTCATATTTAGTTTCACATCTAATTGTCGAACCATAGGTTTGAATCAAACTTTTAATCTTTATTTTAAAAAGGCTCAATAGATAAATAAGGTTTGAAGCTTGTTTGTTTTTTTATTCAAGCCATGTGTTCTCCTACTATCTTCGTCCTTTTATAACAATGGTTTGAACCATTTCATTGTCCTTTTTTCATGCTAATCTAATTAAAATAATATAAATACTAATTTCTATTTATTTGAAGGAGCTCATAGTGAAGCTTAATGACAAAGGATCACCCCAATACTACTAATAACATTACTTGGAGATGTGGTAGCACTTAGAAAAGAGATGTTTTAGTAGCTATCTCTTTTGATTATCGATGTCACTAAAGACTACACCTTATCTAGCCAAAATCAGGATGCTTTTGTGAAAAAATAAATTTCAAGCATATTTCTCCAAATAACAACAACATTTTATCAATTGAAGTCAAATTTTTATTATGTAAGGGGTGGCGGAAGAGACATGATTCAAACCCCTAATCCCATAATAGAGAGTCAAAAGCCATGTCAACTAGCCCAGAGTTAAAATCATTAATATTGTTGTAAGCAAACTTTGAGAAATGTAACATAAACATGCTATTAAATCAAGCCTAAAGTTATCATAATAAATAACTCATTTTCTGACCTAGGGCTAATAACAAAGTTGTGAGTAATTGCTACACTTAAAAAAAATCATCAATTATAGCTCGTTGAAATTCATCATCGCAAATAATTGAACTGTTTCAAATATTATTTATGAAGCTCAAAGTTACTTATTCGTGATTGTAAATACATAATATTGAACACTCAATACATATATTTTCCCATAGATTTCCAAGTGTTCCTAAAATGATATTATAAAGAAGAACATTTAAGAGGGCACCCTGAGATTGACTTTTATATCTTTAATTATAACTTAAAAATGTTAGGGTAGATTTAAATTTTTTTGAAGTGAATGAGTATCCAAATAAGACATTAGATTGCTTCAATTTTGATGAAATTTTTGGACACACACACAATGGAATATTGTGTAAAAAAAATTATGGGAATTTACATTCATACCATATAAATCTTATGTATTTACATTTCTAACACCCAAATTTTTAAGGTTTACACTTATTGCATGTAATGTTAGATATGTAAATCTGTCAGAATTGTGGGGTATGAATGTCAATGCCCTCAAATTTTAATCTCATTCCCAACAACAACCCATAAATTGTAAATAATTAAAGAAGGAATTTGATTAGAGTTTTTACCTCAAAGATGAGGGGGGAAAGTAGCATATTGAAAATCCTATTGGTTTTACCCTTTCCACTAACTTTAACTCATCCTTTTTTGTATTAAGCAGCCTCTTTTCTACTTCAAATTTTTTAATTACAATTCACTCCATGACAAGAACCTTTTCTCGTATCTTCTTCCATAGCTACACTTGGTTGCCCCCACCTGTTGTTTGCCCTCACTCTCCCATTGCATGTCCTAATCAGTGTAAATAAAGAAATTGAGTTCCTTTAATTTTTTGCTAATGTAACCACTCGACCTGCTCATCTAGTCTCCCTCACTCACTCTCTCTCTCTCTCTCTCTCTCTCTTTCTAACTCTTTCTAACACACACACACACACACTCGATCTTAGGGAATGTTTGTGGTAGCTGCAGCTTCTCAGTTTTTCAATTAAAGTTGCGCTGCTTCAGGAAACTGCTAGGGGAAACTAGTTGTTTGTTTGTTGCAGTTGTGTGAAAACTGCCGTGGGGCAGCTGTTTCTGGAAAAATGACCATTCCGCCACAAACAACCCTTAGTCCTCTTTCTTTCTCATCTCTTACACTCAATTACATTTATCTAAGTCTTGATTTAAGATTTAAGAAGATTTTGTGAAAGATAATAAGAAGAAAATCAAGTAGGGTTTATCGATTCTAGTCAAAAAGTTTTTATTTCATTTATAAATAATAAATATTATTGCATAAAAAAAATTACACAAGAAAATAAAGAAATTTATGCTTGGATATATTAGAAATGATAAAACTATATAAATTTGAGTGGGGTATAATTTGGGAGCCATACATATTTACTGTTGCTGTAAGAATATTTTGATAAAAAATATTTGAGAGCACATTTGATCAAGTAAAACTATTAACTAAATACAAATATTAAAATAAATAAAATCTAATTTTTGAGGAAATAAAATATAATAAAAATTTTGATGGAGTTTTTAATCAAACTTGACCATCAAACTTGATGGCCTTTAAATTCAATAAAAATTACAAGTTTAAGGAGCTAATCCTTATTTTATCCCAAAATTATATTTTGGGGTATATATTCTCACATAAAATAAAAGCATTTTAAATAATATAAAATCAATTTCAAATAAAAATGATGCTTTCTTCTACATAAAACTAGAACTAGAACCCTCGTTCTTCATTTATGAAAAAGTCTTTGCATTGTTACCTCATAAAAATCCTTATGGGCGACATTTTTTTTCTTATTGTTAAAAAACCTCTTAAAACCCATCGTTTTTGTGTGCTTATTCTTAGGGCTTGTTTGGTTCAAGTAGGATTTAACTTAAGTTGGGTTTAGTCATTGTAAATCCAGCATTAATAAATCTTGAGGGTTAAATCTTGAAAATTGTTTGGCATGGGATGTGTTAAATTTGGTTAATCCTGGTTCAATTGTTTGGTAATTAATTTTAAAATTTAAGTTTATTAGTTCTATTATGAATTACATATTAATGATGCAATTATTAAGATTAATTTTTTTATTATGCTAATGATTAATTAGCTGTTTACCAAGAATATTATTTATTATTAGATTTTTTTAAATAATTTATAATTAATCAATGCTTTAATATTCATTAATTAATTATTGAGTAGTCATTCATTAAGCTGAGTAGTTATTAATCATAAATTAATCATCTCAAATTTATATCAGTTATTTGATAAATTTATTCGGTAAAGATTGACTTAAAAAATGTAGAATTAATTCATTATTAATTATGAATAATTAAAATAAATTTAAGTTCAATTATGTTAAATTAACCTACGAATAGAGGTTTTCGCTTCCCTCCCTCTTATCTGAAACCCTCGCGGATAACAATGACGATCGTAATGTCCGAAAAAGAAACAGACCTCTGAAACTCTGATATTTTACCCATTTTAGCTCAATTCTTACTATAGACATTGTGAAGGTAACTTACGATTTTTCTCCCACCCACTTTTGTGCGCTTTAATTTGTCTCAATCTCGTAAATCCTTCTTCAAGCAAGATTTAATAAATAGGGATTTAGGGCAAGATGGAGAAGAAACATGATTTAAAAGCATGTAAGAATTAGGGGCTTTTTGGTTGTAAGTTGGATTTAGTTTAAATATGATCTAAGAAATTCTGTAAATAATCTTAAAGTAATTAAATCCTGAAAACTATTTGGTATGTTAATAAGTAAATCCTTGATAAATTAGGATAAAACAATTTTAGAAGTATTTAACGATATTTATAGAATAAACATCACAAAATAGATTTTAAATAGAAAAAATACAAATGAGTATCCCAATACTCAGTGCATAAAAAGAAAACATTTACATTAATTAATAATTATTTTTATAAATTTGTAATAATTTAATTTTTTATAAACTAATTATTTATTAAACAGTAATTTAAAATTAATCCATTATTAATCAATTAATTATTAATTATATAAATTAAGAATTACTTAAATTTTATTAAATAATTTAAATATAAAATATATTTTTTATTTATTATATAACTATTAAATAATCATATTTAATTTTATCTAATTATAATTAATTCAATATTATAAAAACTAATTACTAGTTATTAATCAATTAAATTAACTATCTTAAATAAAAATAAATTAAGACCCAGACCCTCCTCCTGGTTTCGCTCAAAACTATCGCCTTCGTGAACGAAGAATCGCGATACAGTTGCCAATAGAGTTAGCCGGGAAGTCAACGACAGGATCGCGACTTACAGAGGCAACCGAAACTTGCATCTTTCTCGTCCTTCCGCTCGGCTCCTACCGGAAACCATTGAGGAAGGTAAGCCTGTTCGCCCCGTTCTCTTCGCTCGTCCTGGATTTACTAAATCCTATTCACAGGACTTACTAAATCCCGAATTTACTTTTCGCCGTCATTTTGGGATTTTCCAAATCCCAGGATTTACGGAGGAGAAACGGGGTATAATAGTACGTAAGATTCACTGAAAAAAGTTCTCATTTTTGCTGTTTGACAGGCCCCTTACAAGTAACGTAGACCCTATTGATCAGTTCCTCTCACTCTCCTCGGCGCATCGAGAATGGTGGAGATTGTGGTGTCCTTTTCCGCCGAAAGCCCTCCTCTCGCGGTCATCGCCGCGGCCAGGATCGCTGGAGTACCTCTCACAATCGATCCAAGCCTCCCTCCGGCTTCGGCTAGCCTTTTCCGTTTCTCTTCAGGGTATGTCTCAAATCAACAATTTTGATTCATTTTCTTTAGTTCTAGAACTATTTTTCTTGCATTCGGTTAGCTTTTTCTTGTCTGAAAATGTTTTTGGGGTTTAGTTGGGTGTTCAATGAAATTTGATATTTGAGTAAGAAGTGAAAAATGGATGAAAGAGGGTGCTAGGTTTGTAGATAACAGTGTTTTGAGTGCTATGTGTAATTGCCCCGCCTTTTTATTGGAAAATACATTCCGATTTTTTATCTGCCTTTTAATTATTTATGAGGTTTTTTTCTATGTTCTTGATAGCATTTCTCTCATTTTGGTGCAACAATTTACTGTTTTATACGTGCTATGAAGCTTGGCCCGTCTAGTAACAAGCACAAGGAACAGAGTTAGCATGTATACCGCTACACAAGAATTGAAGGAAAAATAGAAAAAGATAACATGGCATGAGTGTTCTTATTATTATGATATGCATCTGAAAATATAGAAAAGATACTTATAACTATTTTTCCATGCACGAAACATAGGAATATACCTAGTAACACTGATATCAGCCAATTGATAGTCATGGAAGCTATCAAAAGGTGGAATAATATATCAAAAGTGTTAGAATTGCGTATGCCGCACATAACTTCTATATAACAAATATTAAATATTCATCCAATCATTTCTGTGTTTTTGAAAGTTTACTGCAGCTAATACTCAAGACACATTGAGTGGAGTTCTTGGATTGATTTCATTGTTAGGCTTGTTTCCAAAATGTTGATGTTTGATCGACATGCATGAGAGCCATGAAGGAGCTTGTGCTCCATAGCTGTAATGTTTTGTTTGGCATTTTCAATTCCTTCTGCATGCATTAGAAAGTTGGCTTGTATTGAATTTTTGGCTTCACTTGCTAAGTTGCGTCTAACAAAACTACAGAGTAGCTTCTAAAATTTCCTCCCTCCCTCCCACTCTTCCCCTGTCCTTCTCTCTCTCTCTCTCTCTCTCTCTCTGCCCTTCTCCCCTACCTCTCTCCTTTCTCCCTCTTTATCTCTCTCTCTGGCATTCAAATCTCTCTCCCCCTTTCTCTCTCTGGAATTCAAATCTCTCTCCCTCTCTTTCTCTCTCTCTCTCTCTCTCTCTCAGGCACTTAATCTTTTGATTTCTGGTTTGGTATACGATGTAAATACCACTCATCCAGGTGGCTCATGGTTTATAGTTTTGGTTTTTACTACAGCAGAGTGAAACATAATGTTTTTTGCTCTGTAGTTCTATTAAATCCTATAGTGAATTTTTGTTTACAGTTCATTTATATGCTTGCTGATTTGGCGATTCTATTGGTACTGGTGGTGCTTTGGTTTCCAGATTTTCTGTTTCCCCTGATGCTGTTTTTTTTTTTTTTAATTTTGTTCTTAGATTGAGTTTTGTTTTGCTAATATCTCAGTTTCATGAGGCATTGTGAAATTGGAAGGAGTCTTTTCCTCTTATTTTAAATACATTTTTTTTTCTTTAAAAAATCTTGTCAAACTGGAATCTGAAACTTCTCCAACTTCTTTTGTTTCCTCTTTTTAACTACTTTGTTTCTCATTGTCACGTTCATTGTGCATGTTCTCTGATTTTTATCCCCATGATGATAAATTTAGTAATCTGAACCTTATTTTGGTGCCAGAATGATCGGTGCTCCCTCACACTTGTTGGGGTTGAGGAACCGAGAGTTCATGAAATGGTGATATCAGGCATTCTGAGGGATACTTATAGCCATGTCAGAGCTCATGTATCAGTTTGTTTAATCTCTTCCTTTTATTATTAAACTTTATATTTTAACATTCATATCAGCTTTCTGTATGATTGGTAGTATTACTGGTGTTAAAAAGCTGAGATTTCATAGCATAGTGATAGCAGGATTTCTTAGGGATTTATTTAGTTACTGCAGAGGTCATCTATCTTTTCCTTTTGCTCGAGTATTTTTTAGAAGGGTATTTTTCTTAACCGATGTAATTGTCAAACTTGCAGCTGGTTCCCATATTTTTTTCGGCTTTCTTTGCTGTTAAGTCCGCTGTTTTTTAAACCCTACCACCTGGGCACCTCATTTTTTATTCAATTTGGTGCTGATCCTTTTGCAAAATTTTTCGTTAAATATTGATGCAATCTGGTTCAATGATCGGTACATGAAATGGGGCCCAAATAGCAATTTTCTTTTTCCTTTTGCATGAAACCTCTCATATGTTTTCTTTCTTTTCTCTGTTTCAGCTGCAGTTAATCCAAAGTTGTGCAGGCACATTCGAAGTAGTTCCCGTGTTCTTTCATTTTTTCTATTCCTCTTTCTTTTTATAAGCTTCTCCACTTCCCCTAGACAGAATGATCATTATGAAATTGCGGCATTATCAATGCAAAGCCACTATAGTGTTTTTTTTTTCCCTGTATTTCCTGCACGTAACCCGTCCTTATAATCTCTTTTTATAGAGGTTCTAAAAGAAAAAAACTGCAGATCATAGTCCTTATAATTTCTTTTTTTAGAAATTCTAAAACAAAAAAACTGGAGGGAGGAAGGGAGGGAGGATATCTAATTTACATTTTTATATAAATTTTTTTTTTTCATTTTGCGTGTGGGAACCATTTCGCTTTCTGCGAAAACCTAATTTACGCATAAACTTTTGGATGATACTGGTTGACAGTTCTTGAAATGAAGAGGCTGATTGGGAAATCACTAAATTATGATGAATTTTGCTGAAAATTCCGGTATTGCAAACCCGTGCTATGATTGTGTTTTTATTTTAATTTTTTCTTTAGATTATATTTATCAAATTTATTGCTTCCATAACTGCTGATATTGTCACCTATGGTTTCAGTATACCTGCTGTATTTCCTTTTGGGATATTTTTCAGATGGAAATATAAATTTATTTTGGTAAATTTGAGGTAAATATATGACCAGACGGTTATGTGATGTTGAAGAAGCAATTTGGACTTCATTTTCTTATATATGACACTTCTTTTTCTAATTTTTTTAATGGAATTTTTCTGAAATTTGTTTTTGTAATTTAGCATATTGCAGTTTCATCAAGTCATTTTACTTTTGTGCAAGTTTTAGTTGCACTGGGCTAAGTAGAAATTGCGCTTGCTGGTTGAGTCTTAAAATTATTTGGCACTGAGCATGCCCACCAATTGACAATAATGTTTAAAAAAACAAATAAAGAAAGGAAGTGGGGGTTTTGGTCGAAAGTGATTCTGACAATTAAACTTTACAAACTGCATACAATCTAATTGAAAGTAATTTAAATTGTTTCCAAGCAATGAATGATGACGCCTATGTTTGGGACTTCAAAGCTCTTGTACATTCCATTTTGGCACTTCCGACTGAATCTATCTGCTGAATACCACCTCTCACTAATGTTAGATTAAATAATTTTTAAAAAAACTATTCAAATATGCATCTGATGTCCACCTATCTACATTTTATTTGCTTTTCTCTCAATTTTTTTGAGTCTGATAGAAGTATATGCTTTTTTTTTTAATTAATTTATTTCTCTTCAGAATTAAATTGCAGGGAACAAACACTCTCTTGCGTTATCTTGGGAGGGTCTCAAAACTTTCCGATTTCTATGGTAAAGATGCAATAGAGTCATCTCAGGTATGTTTCATGGATATAAAAAATGCCACTTAAGCTGTGTTTTATTCCGAATATCTTATGACATTCTTTTCAGATTGATGAGTGGCTTGAATATGCTCCAATTTTTTCATCTGGTCCACAATTTGAGGGTGCATGCATGCATGTAGATGAGTATCTTGTTTTGAGGTCCTTTTTGGTTGGGTATAGCCTTTCTATTGCTGATATAGCAATATGGTCAGGTCTCGCTGGTAAAGTTGCGCCGTTTATGATCTGTTATACTTTGCCTTTTAAGCTGATCACTCTAGAGATTTTCTTGACATTTAAATCTCACTTTTCAGGCACTGGACAGAGGTGGGAAAGTTTGAAGAAGTCGAGGAAGTTCCAAAATTTAGTCCGTTGGTTCAACTCTATAGCTGAAGAATATAGTTCCTTGAATGAAGTCACAGGAATATATGTTGGCAAGAGGGGGCTGGGAAAATCTCCCTCTACTAACCTTCCCCGAACTTCCAAAGGAAATGAAGAACCATTGATAAATGGTGAAGTAAATCCTAGGGAGAAGGTTCTTCCTTTTGAAGTTGATCTTCCTGGTGCAAAGGTTGGAGAAGTTTGCTTGCGGTTCGCCCCAGAACCAAGTGGATTCCTACACATTGGGCACACAAAGGCAGCTTTGTTAAATCAATATTTTGCCCATAGATATCGAGGACGGATGATTATTCGCTTTGATGACACAAACCCTTCAAAGGAAAGCAACGAGTTTGTAGAAAACCTTTTACTAGATATTGAGACATTGGGCATCAAATATGATGCTGTTACTTACACTTCAGATTACTTTCCACAGTTGATGGAAATGGCTGAAAGGTTGATAACCAAGGGAAAAGCTTACGTAGATGCTACACCTAGGGAGCAGATGCAGAAGGAAAGGATGGATGGGATTGAGTCAAAGTGTAGGAATAATAAAGTTGAAGAGAATCTTTTGCTGTGGAAAGAGATGATTGTAGCTTCTGAAAGAGGGATTCAGTGTTGTGTACGAGGTAAACTAGATATGCAGGACCCAAACAAATCCCTTCGGGATCCTGTTTACTATCGCTGTAACCCGGATCCTCATCATCGTGTTGGTTCTAAATACAAAGTCTACCCTACATATGACTTTGCTTGCCCATTTGTTGATTCTGTTGAGGGTATAACACACGCCCTTCGTTCAAGCGAATATCACGACCGTAATGCACAATACTACCGTATACTCGATGATATGGGACTAAGAAAAGTGCAAATATATGAGTTTAGCCGACTTAATATGGTTTATACGCTTTTGAGCAAGAGGAAACTTCTTTGGTTTGTCCAGAATGGGAAAGTGGAAGGGTGGGATGATCCACGATTCCCAACTGTGCAGGGAATAGTTCGTAGAGGTCTAAAAATTGAGGCTTTGATTCAGTTTATTCTTCAGCAGGTGTTTATTACTTTGAATATCTTCTAAATAGTATTAATTATGCAAACTTCTAATTATGACTTTATTTAATTATTTTCAGGGTGCTTCCAAAAATATAAACCTTATGGAATGGGACAAGCTGTGGACCATCAATAAAAAAATCATTGATCCCATATGTCCGAGGCATACTGCTGTGATTGAAGAGAGGCGAGTAATTTTTACCTTGATTAATGGCCCTGAGCATCCATTTGTTCGAGTCCTACCAAGACATAAGAAATTTGAGGGTGCTGGGAACAAGGCCGCTACTTACACTAATAGGATATGGCTGGACTATGCGGATGCATCATCTGTGTCAGAGGGAGAGGAAGTAACTTTGATGGACTGGGGGAATGCTATTATTACAGAAATTAAGAAGGAAAATGGCAGCGTGATCCATTTGGTTGGGGTTTTGCACCCAGAAGGCTCAGTGAAAACGACAAAGTTGAAGCTTACATGGCTTCCTGACACCGATGAGCTAATTAGTCTTTCATTGGTTGAATTTGACTACCTACTAAAGAAGAAGAAGGTATGTTTGCTATTGCTTTATCTTGTTCTAGTTTTAAATAAACTGTTTGCTATTTCAAGTTCAGTTTTATCTACATTGGAACCAGCAAATATGAAAATATGATTCATTTCATGAATCATCAGCTTGGTTTTATGGTTGGCCATCATCTTTGTATCAAATCTCAAAACCTTTTAATCCCGTAGGGCATTCATGTTTGGAAAATCAAATCTCTAAACTTTTTTATCTCGTTTTTCTGCTGCTTTCTCATCTCCTTCTGGCACCTTTTTGTTTTTATCTCGAGTTTTCTTATAATCTAACAAGCAGTTCAAACTTGTGTGGCACAAAATAACATGACTGCAGCTGGAAGAAGGTGAGGACTTCCTTGACAATCTCAATTCATGCACAAGACGAGAGACTGCTGCTCTGGGGGATTCCAATATGCGTAATCTGAAGCGTGGAGATGTGATCCAGCTCGAGCGCAAAGGCTATTTCAGATGTGACGTCCCATTCGTTCGCCCTTCAAAACACGTGGTTCTATTTGCGATTCCTGATGGCAGGCAACCCACCTCTTTGAACTGAACTTAAACCCGTTTGCTATAATTTAAGCTTTTATTAAGGGGTTTATAAGGAATTTTAATCGATGTTAGCTGCAGCTTTTGGTTTTGAAGATACGAGGCCAGATTGATTTATTTTGACTGTTTAGAGCTGGTTTTTCTCCTGCAGAAAAAAAGCCAAAAAGATTTCTGTTGTTGTATTGCTAAATACTGTTATCAACTAATATGATGAGAGGGTACTGATTTTGGTGCCCTTTGTTATGTGTTGTTTTTGTTTTTTACATGATTCATGTAAGATACTGAATCATTTTTATGATTTATATTTGGAAGCTGGATGTTGTTCGAAGTTATGAGACTTCTTTTTAGTTTGATTTAATCATGATGTTATAAACAAGTAAGAGGATAGATTGATTACGAAATTATAATATAAGAAAATTCTTTTATTAATGAGAATGCATTGTAATAATAAGGAATATAGTTTTTAAAGGAATGTTAGGTATGCTTGATGATAATGTTATGATCAGGAAGTGGAATCAGTGGTGTGTGTGTGCATGTGGGCACGCGTGTATATGTATGTATGTATGTTAGTATGTATGATATGTACATGCGCTAACAATTGCAAATATGCAGATGCGCTCAATCGTCTCAAATATGGTCATAAAAACTTCACAGTTCTTAATAAAATTACAGGCTTCCACAACTATGTAGGATTTTTTAATTGGTAAAAACTCCAAAGAAATAAATAAAAAAGGGAATTTACATTCATACCGCATAATTCTTATGTATTTACATATTTAACACTTAAAATTTATTTTCTTACATTTATACCATCCAAATCTTCTGTATCATATAAAAAAATAATTATTATTTTAACTTTAAAATAGTGAAATGTCACTTTTAAATAAGTAGGTACATATGCAAAAATTAAGGTGTATGAGCGCTACTTATGTAGGGTATTTATGTCAATAATAGTGACATAACTCTTCAATATTTTTCAAATAAATTTTAATATACGTATAATTTTACGTGTTTATGACGTACATAAATATTTTTCGTAGCTTAAAGATGCTTAAATACATACATACCAAAAAAATAGGATTTTTTATTTTCTCCTGAAGGTTTATCTTTCTAGTCGGATAAGGAAAAAAATATTACATCAGTATTACGCACGTAGAAGTAAAGTGCGTAACCAATGAAATCACGCCACGACACCCCAAGCGACAGAGAAAAAAAACGACGCAGTAACACGGGGAATATTCCCTCCCGCATTATTGATATATTATTCATGTGTTATTGCGTGTTATTGATGTGTTATTGTGTTATAATAACACCAAGAATATTCTCAGGATAAAATAACACATGAATAACACACAATAATACATAAATAACACGGGAAATATTCCCGACAGAGAAAAAACGGCGCAGTAACACGGGAGAATATTCTCCATCATGTTATTCATGTGTTATTGTGTGTTATTCATGTGTTATTCATGTTATTGATGTGTTATTATGTTATTATAACACCAAAAATATTCTCAGGACACAATAACACATGAATAACACGGGAAGAAATATTTTGGTGTTACTGTACCTTTTTTTTTTTCTCTATCTCACGAATGCCGGCTTGATTTCAGTGGCTACTCCTTATTTTCCGTAGTACTGATGTAATATTTTTCCCGGATAAGGAGTGCTAAACCCTCTTGACTCGATTCGTGTTCTTCTTCACTTGCTCCTTGCCAATTACTTCTCATTCATTGGTAATGGCCACTCCGGCTCCGCCGCTCGCCACTCGGTCTTTTTTCTCCTCTATTGGAAGCAGAGGCTTTCCATTCTCACTCCGTCTTGACTTCACCGGCGGAATCTCCGGTCAGAGCTACAGAGCGAATACAAGGCCGGGGATACCCTACATCGAGGCGAAGGCCTCGACCAGGAGAGAGAACCGTGCCGCCCGTCACGAACGGGTTAGGAAGAAGGTGAACCCCGTTCTCATATTGTTTTTTTGCTTGCCATTAAACAGCGTTTTCTCAAGTTGATCGTAATGCAGCCTTCATTAGTTAAATTGCATAGTTTTTTTCTTCCTGTTGGTGATGATTTTCTTAAATTGTGATGAAATTGGCTAATTATGAGTAATTTGATGACCTAAGTTAATCAGTTTGAGCTATCTTGCCCCAAAAGGTTGTCTATGTTTAAATGGAACAAATATGAAGCAAGGAAGCAATTCCATGGAAAATATCTGGGTTGTTGACGTGATTTGAAATTATTTATTTAAGTATTTGGACATCAGTAGCATCCAATCATATATTTCTTATGCTTTGCGAATTGGATTCCAAAATCTAATGCACTTTTGCAGCCCCATGTAGGTTATTCAGAAATGTAGAAAAACTTTGTTAGTAAAGAAATTTACTTCAGTAATTGTATGTTATGTACGGATATATTGTCATTGAAAAATATAAAATGACTCATAATGAAAAGGAGAACTTAAAAATATTTTGTGTTCTGATATGTAATTGCCATTTTTGTAAGCTTAGATTCAGATAAGTTACTGTAGATAAATTTTGATGTGAAGTATTAAAAAGCTAAATCATCTTGGCATGTTGATGACATAACTAATTCTAGAGTGATACTTTTTTGGAGATTCAATGAGGTAACACCATACGCATTCAAAATAATGAGAATTGCATTAATATAATGTAAAAGTTCAACATTAAATTCATATTAAATAAAAATTTAGTGTTGCTAGCTCGATCAACGGCTTAAAACGGAGTTTTTTTTATTCATTAATATACAATATTAATAACATATTACACTTTCAATTAAACAAACATGTTAAAATATTTTTTAAATATGTATAGTTGCTTTTATTTGATTATTCATATGTACTATTTTCTGAGTATAAGAGAGTGCTAACCAGTTACACGTTAAGGTTGAAACAGAGTACTGGATAACTCGAGCACATTCAAGTCGCTATGGATAACTAAAGCAATTTAAGTTTCAGTTACATTTTTGTCTATTCAGCCTCTGAAGTTTTTGAAACTTCTCTATTTAAGATTCTCATTTGTGCACCTTGAAGATTAAATAAAATTAATATAGTTCTTCCAAAAGGCCTTTTTAGAAACCCTAAATTGAATCTATATCCTTTTTTACCCTTTTTAGGTAGATGGAAGAGGGTTGAATCTAAGCAATCAAAACCAAAATCTGAAGCCTTTTAATGTTCCATGCATTCTATAAGCTTTATTTAATCGAAATGTTTCACTATTTATATTGGAAAACTAAAGTGATACTAAGGTTAGAAATGCTCACAGGTGTTAGGCTTTTAAGTAGATAGAAGTGGCTTGAATCTAAGCAATCAAAACCAGCATCTGGAGTCTTTGTAATGTTCCATGCATTCTAAAAGCTTTATTTTATTTAGATGTTTCACGATTTATATTGGAAAACTAAAGAGATAGTTAGGTTAGAAATTCTCACAGTTGTTAGGTTTTAATGTTGAAAGTTTCTTTATATTGCTTTCCTTTAAATGTTTCAGTAATCATTGCCTCAATAGAGCATCATAGCTCACTAGATTGCGCTTTGTGGATCTTACATATACGCTATTTCTTCTATCTTTTTTATTTTTTGCGTGTAATTTTGTTCTTCTCTTTATAATTTTTCTTTGGTCTTGATGTCTTTTTTCCCAAAATTGTGCAAATTGTGGCTGCAGTATATTTTTTAAATCTCAAAATTTCACAGTTTAAAGTTCACCCTGGTTTCTTCAAATTGAGGTTGATGGTTATTATGTGCTTAATGTTTATTCGTGTCCATAAATTGTTTTTTTGATCTTGAATGATGATTACAACTTCTGTCTTAGTTTATATTCTTCTATTAATTTTCTGTGATCTGGTGCTCTTGTATTGCTTGTTTTACTTTTTTCTAGGTCCATGGTACGCCTGAGAGGCCAAGGATGTGTGTTTTCCGTTCAAACAAGCACCTTTATGTCCAAGTAATTGATGATACAAAAATGCATACTCTAGCTGCAGCCTCAACCATGCAAAAGCCAGTGACAGAAGAAGTTGATTTCTCTTCTGGACCTACAATTGTAAGTCAGCTTAGACTATTTAGCTTTTGCTAAATTGTAACATATTATATTATTCATCCATCTATAATAAATTATAGGCATGAGGCCTTTTCTTTTTGTATCGATAATAGAGATGCTTTGCAAGGTGAGTTAATTTGGTGTTACTACTTGCAAAATTGCATACTTTGAATAGGTGAAGTTCTTTTTGAAGTTGGTGATAGAAGAACAAAGAAAATTTCAAAATATAAGGGTTGTAGATTAGTAGAAATGTGTATTAAAATAGATGCATGATAAAATTAGGAATTTTAAAGTGAAGTCATAATATTAGTAATTTGGGAGTCGCTTCTCTTAAAAATTAGTTAGTGAAGAATAAAGTTAGTGAATTGGATTTATAAAGGAATGCAAAATATGCACTAAATTGAGTGAATAGATTAGATGTGAACAGGAAGATAAAGAGATTAATGAAAGGTAATGTTGCTTGTAGTAGAAAATAATTGGCGTTAAACTTTAACGCCTTCAGCTGCACCAGTAATGGAGAATGAAGGGGGAGAGATCCTAAACCATCCCAATTAGTAAGATAAGGCTAAACAAGTGACACCTAAGATTGAAAGTTTTGCTTTGGATATGTTATCGAAAATAATTGGAATGTGGAGTAGCTTATGATTTGTGGAGTTAAGATTGGATTTGCTAGTTAAGATTGGATTTGCTAAATAGAAAATGTCTCAGGAATATTATATCATGAGTGAATTGCATTGATTCTCAAAAATTAATTTGATAAAACTATAATTAGAATCACAATATTAAATCGACTTTATTGTTGGGAAACAAAGAAACCAATGGCATTCAAGTTGAATGTGGTGGAAATGAGATTATTTATTAGTATTATTATTTCTGTCATAGAAATGTGTATTAAAATAGATGCATGATAAAATTAGGAATTTTAAAGTGAAGTCATAATATTAGTAATTTGGGAGTCGCTTCTCTTAAAAATTAGTTAGTGAGGAATAAAGTTAGTGAATTGGATTTATAAAGGAATGCAAAATATGCACTAAATTGAGTGAATAGATTAGATGTGAACAGGAAGATAAAGAGATTAATGAAAGGTAATGTTGCTTGTAGTAGAAAATAATTGGTGTTAAACTTTAACGCCTTCAGCTGCACCAGTAATGGAGAATGAAGGGGGAGAGATCCTAAACCATCCCAATTAGTAAGATAAGGCTAAGGATGCTGAGGATAATTTGCTAGATCAGTCATATTTTTCACAGCTATCTTCATGTGGAAGCTGAATCAATATTCACTGCTTATTTGCCATGCTAAAGTTGTGCCGAAAGTAAGCATTCTAATGAAAACAGTGTAAACTATCTTATGATTGTAGACAACCTAGCAATAGTTTGCATTTCTTCTTGTGGATACGCCATGCCCTTTTGATCCAAACCATACAAGGACTTCACCATGCCTAAAATTTTAACAAATATTTTAGCTTTCTTAATAGAAACATATACCTTAGCTTTTCTTGCACTGCTTTGGTGATTTTTTATCCTTAAAATTTGCAGAGCGAAGGAATCTCTCAGCTGAAAAGGTAAACGGAAAAGGTTTTTCCATTTTTCAACAAGTATCATAGCTTTGTAAAATCTCAATAGTTCCTCCCTGTGGCATCCTATACCAATATCTTTATTCTCCTATTAAGAAGAGGCGATCAGAGTTGTAGAGTTCATTAAAATGACTGATTCTCTTGGCAAAGAAGAGTAAAAGGTTGTTGATTGAGTGTGTGCCACTTAATTAAGGATTGATGAGTAAAAGAATGCCGGCTCTAGAACTAAGGGTTTGACATTCTACATTATGCTGACTTGTAACATCAGATTAAAGCCCTAGCATTGTTTTGTAGATAATATCCAATGTATTTTACTAAATTTTTATTAGTGATTTTTTTGGTAGATTGGTTGTGTGATTCATAGACTACCAATTTCAGAAAAAAAAAAAAAAAACTATCAATAGGTTTTGATATGGCTTCCCTTGAAGTAGAATCAATGGGAATTTTACAATGCGAAGGTAGTATGTTTTGCACATTTTTCTTTAGATCATCTAAATCTCAAAAAGAGCAAAACCCAAGATAGTCCCCCGACTTTCAATTAGTGACCAATTTAAGCACAGAGTTTTAAACTGCCCCAGCTTTTACTTTCCCACTCGTGTAAACCAAGCATTAAATACTGTATTGTAGAAAAATTATGGTTAGTATCTTACAATTAAATCAAGAATGTTGGAAATTGTTGATATCTGAGAAGATCCTAGAAGAAATCCAAAAAAATCCTGAAAAATTTGATTGGAACAACTTCAGAAACTTTTGATTAGTTTATTCCCTTCTTATTCTGTGTTATTTTTTTTAAATTGCAAAATTATTTTCTTTCCAAATTTAGATAGTTGTGTTTGGTAAGTTTGTACATTAGGAGAGGTTGTTTTCCCATGTGAGTAATATGAATCAAGGGAATTATTCTTCTCCAAACATATTTTCTACATGGTATCAGAGATAAGAAACAAATCGTAGATCTCTTTTTAGTCGTCAAAATCCTCTCTGTAGCCACCTGTCTTCCTGCAGGCCCTCCTCCGAGCTTCCACCCTGCAGCCTCCAGTACCAGAATTCTCCCTCCGTAGCTAGTCTTCTGCCTTTCTGAAAGACAGTCGTAGGAAGCAGAGCTGATCCTTTCCGTAGTATGTTTCCTTAATCTATTGCAACAAAACTACCTCCTTGGAAAGCAGAACATCCCGGCCGAACAACAACAAACAAACATTTCTTCAAAAAGCCTGAATCACTTCTCCTAATTTTTCTCATTTCCTCCTCCATAAACTCCTCTTCTCGAACTCATGTAACCAGAATTTTCCTGCAGCCGCAATAACACCTTCAACCACCAAAAGTTTCTTTTTTGCAGGCTCTCATATATTCAGCCGCAAGAATACCTTCCCTGTAGGCCCTCATTAGTTTTTCAGGCAGCCGGATTTCTACCTGCTAGATTCTTTTTTGCAGGCCCTCTTTCGGTGGAATCCTCCAACAGTAGCAGTAGAAGCAATGACAACAAGCATAAACTTCAGCTCAACAACTAAATGTAGCCCTAAATATGCATAGGGTTGATAACCAAGCACATGATGAAGGCATCAAGTTCGACTCTAAAGATTAATTATGAATTAGAGACCAGATATTCTGTCCAAATGACTCTTGAACTCTCTAACTTTATCACAAATCATAAATTCAATGGTCATAACTACCTTCAGTGGTCTCAACCGTGTTTATGTACATTTGTGGTAAAGGGAATGAGAAACATCTCATGGGAGAAGGCAAAGTTTTTTAGATCACTGACGTCAACCACCACACATGAAAGAATCAAGATCAAAGTTTTTTAGATCTTGGCTAGTTAACTCAATGACCACTGAAGTGAGAGAAAATCTTCTGCTCAATAAATCTGCCAAGAAAAATATATTCTAGTACTGAAAACATTGCATAGTTGTTTGAGATCGAAATCAAGCTTCATAACCTTCTTCAAGCAGAGCTAAGTGTCACCCAATATTTCAATATCTTGACAAAATATTGGCTATAATTGGATATATTTTAGACACATGTAGGAACATGTCCACATGATCGTGTGACGTTTAAATCTATTATCGAGAAAAAGAGAACAATCAAATTCCTAGTAGAGCTATCTCATGAATTGGATGAGGTAAGAGGGAGGATCATGGGAACAAAGCTCCGTCCATCTATCATTGATGTTTTTGTTGAAATTAAAAGAGAAGAGAGTAGAAAGAAACTAATGTTGACTGAAAAGGAGGGTTCACCAAGTACTGAAAGCTCGACCCCGTACACAACTCCTCCCATGACTTAATGAATAAGAAGAATCGCCCCACAGGTGACTATTGCAAGAAGATTGAGCATATCAAGAACAAATGTTGGAAACTTCATGGAAACCCTACAGATTGGAAATCTGGACAGTGAATGAAAGATCTAGAGAAAAAGGCTAATGTTGTTACCACATCTGAAGGGTCGGCTAAACCGTTCACCAAGGAGCAGCTTGAGTACTGAAAAGCTTCTTAGAGACAATTCAGACTAGCACACCAACCTCGTGACACACCAATGTAATATATCATTCTCTCATTTTGCCAGTAATGAGAGATTTAGAACTTGGATCATAGATTCATGAGCATCTGATCATATGACCAGAGATATTAATGCTCTAGTCAAATATCAAAAGGCTTCTACATATAGATCGATAAGACTTGCAAACAAATCACACTCAAACATTGTTGGTATAGGAGATATGGAGATCTCTTAAGATATTACTTTTTCCTTTGTTTTATTTGTTCCTTAGTTGAACTGCAATTTGATTTCAATCAATAAGCTTACTCATGACATGAAACGTATAACTAAATTTCTTACAAACTATATTGAATTTCTGGTGGTGTAGTAGGGGAAGGTGATTGACAGTGTTGAAATGCTTCAAGACATGCATGCTCAAGGAATTTCTCTCTAAACACACAAATGATTCCACCTCTGATTTCTATTGAGTCCATGTATGTTGAAATCAAGTTTAGTTATGACATCGCCTGGGCCATTCTAGTTTTAATTATGTTGCTAAGTTATACCTTTATTTGTTTATCAATAAAAAACTTAGTTTCTATCATTGTTAGGTTTGTCAACTTACTAAACAAACTAGAAATAATTATCTTCTGACCCAGTACAAACCCTTTTGTCATTATCCACGGTGATATTTTAGGACATTCAAAGGTGAAAACCCTAAGTGGGGCAAAATGTTTTGTTTTATTTATTGAAGAACACTGAAACCATTTAGGTATTTCTAATGAAGGAAAAAATTTGAAACAATCAAAATCTTCCAAACCTTTCCTGACATGATTCAAACTCAATTAAAATTCAAAATTCAGATTCTTTAAACTGATAATGCAAAAAAATATTTCAATTCTATCATTGGATCTTATATTTCAAAAAAATAAAATAATGCATATGAGTTCATGTATTGATA